TGTAGTGTTCCAGTATGGTACACCTGGTAAGAAAGGCTCAGGTTATGGATACCTGAACTCCCCCTGGGGAGTGTGTACAGACAGCGTGGGGCACATCTTCATTGCTGACCGGGGGAATCACAGGGTGGTTGTTATGACCTCAGATGGTCAACTATTAAGATACGTGGTGGGTCCACAGCAGGTTTCAGCACCAGCAGGTGTGGCCATTGATAAGAAAGGACAGCTTGTAGTGGGGGAGAGACGAGGCAAGGTGAAAACATTTCGCTATGTTCCTTAACTACAATTTAAGTATCAGATGTTAACCAGCCGACATCATTTTTAACACAAAAAGAAAGAAGAATTACAGCGAAACTTTGCGAACATTGCTTGCTGAACACATAATAATGGATATTTCTGAAATTATAACTTTTATATTGGAAGGTGATTATATTGTTTTTTTTTTTTTTTCTTTAACAATTAGTTATACGATAATGTAGGAGTGGGACAGTAAAATAATTCATTATGTACGTTTAAATTCCACACTAACCAATTTCATGTCGAGGTTCAAAAGTGACAACAAAACAATTTAAATCTTTTTTTACTCTTTTTGGCACTTTTACAGTCAAGTTATACTACTGTATTATAAAAATACAATATTTCATTTGAGCACTGATACAGTTTAACGTGTTTCTAAAAAAGGACACAGTACGACAAGTGATTTTACCTTCAATGAATCAGATGTACATGAAACAAGCTTGTAAATAAATGCTTTTAGAAATATCATCAGTAATACCAGTATTTACTGTAAGACCAGCAGGTATATTATAACACTAACGTAAGCGCTGATCAATATCTTTTATTATTTCTATGTTATCCTTCTTTTCATGTACAAATATGTGAATTTGGATAGAAGTTGTATTTTATTTTACAGAAAAAGAAAAATGAATTGCTGACAGTAATTACATACTATAAAAATGTAGCGGGCGGGCGGGCGTTTGACTGGATATATGGGCTTACAAAATAATATTTGTAGTTCTATGAAATTTTAGTGAAGTTTGTGTTATTTATCTTTTTAATTTTTGTTTAATTTATTCTCTCCATGCCCAGCTTTTCATTAGAAATATCATAAAAATCCAAATGAATTTCATCTTTGAATCTACAATAAGCAATGAAATGATTGTGAACTCTGTAACCGCCTCGTGGTCAGAATCATCATTAAAAAGTATATTTATTCCACGTTGTACTTGTCACTGAAAGTTGACAGGTACACCATTGCGCATGTGTTTAACAGATATCCCAACTTTATGGAGTGGCCAGGTCGGACAGGCAGAATGGTCTGTGGCAACGGCTGATTGAAATCTGTTCAAGTAATTTGACCTTTATAATTACAATGTTTTAACAAATTTTCCTTTTGGAAGTACGGGAGTATTGTGTGAAGGGCGCACATTCTGTTGTCCACGCTCACCTAAAGCATTCTGCTGCCGTCGTTCACCTAAAGCATTCTTCTGCCCTCGTTCACTTAACGCTTTCTGTAGTCTACGAGCCCAATTTTGAGCATAAACATAATGTGACGCCTTGTCTTATGATTAATACAAGATGCAGTCACTAGATATTTCAGCTTGTATTTGATAATTGTCATGTATGATCCAGCTACCAAGTTAATGAACAGTTTTGCTCAGGGAAATTTTAGTTCTCAGCTAGTAAAAAGTCAGACAAAAGGTGTTCTAGTGTTCTGTTCTAGTGGTCTGTTCAAATATCTGTGGACCTGGCGGAGGGTAAAAACCTTGGCGATAAAGTAAAAGTTACCCAATTTTCAAGGTCGGTAATTACCAATACTTATTATTTTGTACCTTGAGCTTTTTATTTGATTTATGTACTATTTACTTTATTTTTGTATTTGGTAATATAAACGTTTTAAGCACATTATGTGGTCTGAGCTCAGTCCTTTTCTCTTTACACTACACACTTTACCCACTGAGGATATTTTTTGTTTGGTTTCAATTTGATGTGGTTTGTGGATGATTACTAGATAAATGTTATATGTAAAAAATTCTCATGATGAAAAAGCAACTATTAAGACTTGTGTGAATGAATTCAGATTTTGGCTCACGACAAACTACTTAGACACCATTACCATAGATTATCGTATTTACTATGGCTCCATCTTTCTCCTCTCCTACTAAATTGTAATCAGCTTAGGCGACTTAGATATCCGAAACGCCTACTGAAACTGCCATGGGGTAATTAACCATCGTTTGGCAGCTTCAGTTGGCGTGCCAGACATCTAAGCCGCTTAAGCTGAAAGCAATTTAGCAAGAAACCTCCGGAGATGGATCGGACCTTTTAGATCGATCTTGGTATGGGAACCCAGAAAAAAACCTCAATGATGATAAAACTGGATTGATCTATTTCAAATCAATCCTGTTGTTCGGAATGCCTAACTATCAAATGGGAAAAATCAGTCTATTTAGAATTCAGCAGTTCGTTTCCTTCGAAAACTCAGAAGTTCCACCATATCACGTGATTCTCACATGTACACCAGTTCTCCACGATCTTCATTAGTTACCCACATGCAGCCTTAAAGAATAGTCTATAAGATATTATTCTTGACTTTACATGAATAATATAATATACTTATATATTTTATTTAATAATAAATTAATAATAGAACTTTTAAAACTCTTCTTTCCTGTGGTCAATTTCATCTCAAGCAAAACGATACAAAAAAGGCTTAAAACATATAAGCTATTCACACTAGCATTTTCGACCGCGGTCAAGGCCTGCATGACCTCGGTTCTGTCGCGGTGAACTTTTCTAATGTGAACGGACGACGTACCCCTGACCGCGGTCGAAATAAACCCAGATCGGGAGCTGGGTTAAATCGGAGTTAACTCCGGATGTTTACATATGGAACGCATGCGCACAAATGGGCAATTAATCAACTGATCTCGTTCGCAAGAAATCCTCGCAGCTATTTGAGTCCTATGAGTATGAGTAGCAGCACAATAGCAGACCTATCATAGTCTGAGGATGCCGTCAAGGGCCTCCTCGCCAAATGGTCGGAGAGTGAGGTACAACGTAAATTAGCAGGAAGCGCCAAGAATAAAACGGCCTGTCGCAAAAAGTCCAGGTGAATTGGTACTGACAGGCTGCAGAGGTAATAAATGCTATATCATGGACATTGCCCGCCTTAATATTCAACAGTAAACAATATGTTCCTGAACAAAATGTTACTAGAGTGCCTACGTAGAATAACGTCAGCGTCTGGGTTAATAAACAAGCCTAGTTCTGCTATCTCTTGTATCATGTGCCTCGTGGTGGGGCGTACAGCTCAGGTGACTCCAGCTATCAAGACGAGTGAGGTGTGTTCTCACGTACACCCAAGTCTACAGTTAGCGCAGGCTTAAATGAGCCATCTAGAATGTGTTCAACATAAGAATATAAACTAAAAACCCGTGCTTTAAATTCAACTTGATAGGCCTAATTGGCTATTACATTTGAATGCAAATATTATTTTTCTTTTTGCCGAGAAGGAAATGATATTGGAAAATCACTTGAAACATATCTTTCGCTATGAAACTACAGGTTTTTTTCTTTTTTTAATCAAAATACCAAAAATGTAGAATAATATATTTAGTTTCTGCCACATTGGATAAACTTACAGCAATATCACCATCTCATGAGGTGATATTTCAGGTTGATGTACCAGGTCCCAGTGGTGTCACCGTGCTCAGTGATGACAGACTGGTGGTTACATGTTATGATATCGATGGATGCCGAGTGTATTCCTCCTCCGGGAAACATGTCAAAACATTTGGTCAGGGTGACATGTCTACGCCCTACGGTGTTACAGTGGACAACAATGGACACATACTTGTCTGTGACGTGGACAATAACTGTATCTGTGTGTATGACGCTGTGCAGTACAATCTTATCAATAAGATCAGTGTTCCTATGTGTAAAATCCACTTTACATTGCAGTGCTCCCATGTGGTGAGTGACAGAGAGGGACACTGTGTATATGGAGTGACCCCCCAGGGTGATGCAGTGTTCCAGTATGGTACACCAGATGAGGGAGGCTCAGGTGATGGATACCTGAACTCCCCCTGGGGAGTGTGTACAGACAGCGTGGGGCACATCTTCATTGCTGACCGGGGGAATAACAGGGTGGTTGTTCTGACCTCAGATGGTCAACTGTTGAGATACGTGGTGGATCCACAGCATGTTTTAAAGCCAGCAGGTGTGGCCATTGATATCAAAGGACAGCTTGAAGTGGAGGAAGATGAAGGCAAGGTGAAAACATTTCGCTATGTTTCTTAACTACAATTTAAGTAATATAACAGACATTACCAAGCAACATCATTTTTAACAGAAAAAGAGAGAAGAATTATAGCGAAACTTTGTCCATGGACATTATTTGTTGAACACATAATTATGGATATTTCTGAAATTATAACTGTTATATTGGAAGATGATGATATTGATTAAAAAATTATTAGTTATACGATAATGTAGGAGTGGGAAAGTAAAATAATTCATTATGTACCTTTAAATTCCACACACTAACCAATTTCATGTCGAGGTTCAAAGGTGACAACAAAACCAATTTAATTATTTCTTTTACTATTTTTCGCACTTTTACAGTCAAGTTATTATACCGTATTATAAAAATACAATATTCTATTTGAGCACTGATACAGTTTAATGTGTTTCTAAAAAAGGACACAGTACGACAAGTGATTTTACCTTCAATGAATCAAATGTACATGAAACAAGCTTGTAAATCAATGATTTTAAAAATATCGTCAGTGATACCAGTATTTACTGTGAGACCAGCAGGAATATTGTAAAACTAACGTAAGCGCTGGGACATTATGGTTTTACCTCCATCCCACTGTGATATCCACATGAAGGCGGATACAAGTCACCGGTACCGCGTCTCCTCATACACTACACGTGGATTAGCTACTTGGACCTGAGGCCACACTGTTAACATGAACTCCTAGGTTTTAGACTCCTAGGTTTTAGACTCTGTCGATGCATTTGTATAGTTCGAAATGCACCCTTGTCACATTTTTTTCAAAAGAAAATGATCAATATCTTTTATTATTTCTATGTTATCATTCTTTTCAAATATGTACAAATATGTGAATTAGGATAGAAGTTGTACTTTATTTTACAGAAAAAGAAAAATGAATCGCTGACAGTAATTATATCATACTATAAAAATGTAGCGGACGGGTCTTTGACTGGATATATAGGCTTACAAAATAATATTTGTAATTCTATGAAATTTTAGTGAAGTTTGTGTTATTTATCTTTTAAATTTTTGTTTTATTTTTCTCTCCATGCCCAGCTTTTCATTAGAAATATCATTAAAATCCAAATGTATTTCATCTTAAAATCTACAATAAGCATTGAGATGATTGTGAATATTAGCACACTCTGTAACCGCCACGTTGTCAGAATCATCATTAAAAAGTACCTTTATTCCACGTTGTACTTGTCACTGAAAGGCGACAGGTACACCATTGCGCGTTTGTCCTTGAAAATTCCCAACTTGAGGGAGTGGCTCCGTCGGACTGGCAGAATTGTCAGTGGCAACGGCTGACTGAAAACTGTTCAAGCAATTTGACCTTCCACGACAAGTGTTAAGCTAAATAATGACAATATATTAACAAATTTTCCTTTCGTAAGCAATTGACGGGAGTTGGCCCCCGAGTTCATTCCTCAATAGATTTAGAGAGTGTGATATTGGAACGCTTTATTCGGTTGAAGGGGTGTTTTACGGTAAAATGAGAATTCTTTATTTCGGTATATGCATGTCAAACTCTACACTGCCACCCTCTGACGACATATTACTTGAACACCTATCACTGAGGCTCCAGATGTTCTGGGAATTCTGGGATACATCACACTGGTGACAGGGTGTTGTCTCACACTTACTTGTATCTCACATATATAAGAAGTCGCATTCGTGGCAGTCACACATACCAGTGTGCTGAGAACGCTTCCGGACCACACCCTCTCCCTCTCCCCTTGTTACTCAGTCAAGTAAGTGAAATATTATACAAATAGTGTATAGTTTATTAATCATAAACAACGTTACAGGTGATACACGCTGGTGTTCGGTTAACTAAGATTTTATATCATAACTAACGCAATAACAGTAAAGAACAACTGTCGTGAGAAACATATACATGTGTGATCGGGTCGAATCACTACTACCAGTTATTTCATATTGTATTGAAATTGTGGTGTCGAGCGTCGATGAAATCATGAAAATAATCTCTCTTCATCTCCCCTCCCTCGTCCCTTCTTACTCCGCTTCTTTTCCTACCTCTTTGACCCCCCCCCTCTCTTTCTCTCTTTCTCTCTCTCTCTCTCTCCGTATTAAACCTAATGAAAATATACTCAAAAGGGCTCCGACGAGGCTCAATATCCGACCAATGTATGCGAGATACAGATAAAATCTATGCACCCGTGTCTTTCCAGGTTGCTATAGTACGCCATGAAGACTGCCACCGTTAGCTACGTTTTGGTCATAGCCATTATGGCTGCCTGTGTGGAGTTTATTGGCAAGTTTCAAGCCATCACCTGCGTCTGTCGGCGCCGTCGTCGTGCACTCTTAGAGATAACACGTTTGATGAGAGTAAACTAAATGATAAAAAGTTGGCCATATGCTAAATTTACTTTGTACAAGTACATGTAGTTGTGTGCTGGTCGACAGAAATCGTTATACACTGATACAAACCAAGTCAGGGAGGGGGTTGACTATATTAGGAACCTATTCTTTCACAACATGAGTTTAAAGAAAAAAATATTTCAATTGAATGGATTCGGCGACAGACATACAAAACAGCGACAAAAGGCATGGAGCACACATTTACTTTAATAATGTTCTACTTTTATTAAATTTCATTCATTCATTTATCCAATGAATGTTGACATGCTTTAGGCTATGTGCTCGTGTTCCAGTTTCCTTTTCTTCTTTTTTTTTTCTTTACAGAGTGCGATCGTCTGCCTACAAATGGGATCCGTGTGTACATCAGCAGCGTGTCAAGCAACCTGGAACTCAAGAAACAACAACAGAGGATACAGATGGTTCTCAGCGGGAAGAACATCGACGCACAGTACATCGATATTTCCTCAAACGAAGCCGCCAAGAAATTTATGAGGGAAAAAGCAGGACCGTTTACTATTCCTCCACAGCTTTTTAACGGCGAGGAATACCTTGGTGATTACCAAGCTTTTGAGGAAGCAGTTGAAGACAGACGTCTTATGGAATTCCTAAAGTTGAACTGATTTATCTCGTGGTTAAAAATAAAGTTTTGAGACACTGTCAAGACGACAAGACACGCAAATCCACATGTATCATGTACTTCAACTTACATTTTGACAAAAACCTAACAAGATATTTAATATACAGAAAGATCGGATGCTGGTCTGGCTGACATGATTGTATTATAGGGGTATATACCGGAACATAATGAATAGTATAATGCATAATAGAATAAATAGAGCCTTAGTACAAATAATAACTTGCCTTGAAAGCATGATACGTGTTCACTGTGCTGAGATTTTAAAGAAAATTATTCAATATGTTGCACTCTTTCAAGAGAAATAATATTATTTTGCAATCTAGGCTTAAATTCTTTATTCACCTGACATTTGAAAACACATTTCCACATATAATGTTACACGTGCGCAGTTAACCTGTTTCGAGTAGTTGCGTGTGGTGTTGCACGTGTCCCCGAAAAAGGGCGTGCACACACGACTACCATTCAGCAAGAGTCCCCTCGGATTTGGATCGATAGAGCGATAGTTTTATTTGGAATGAGCCCTTGTTTGATAGATTCAGCACGTTCCCTGATGTACAAAATACGCAGTTTTATCGTTTATTGCACGTGTTTCACGGTACCAAAAGAACTGATAGTGAAAAGCGGACATGCTATGCACATACCCGATAGCGTTGTTGGCCTATCCAGTTTTTATCAGGTATTGTGTTATGGGAGATGATCCACGCTCACCTAACGCATTCTGACCACTGAATCCCTGTAAAATCGCTCTGAGACCAGTGTATCATCTGCGGGTCAACTACTGGTCCATATTTGAGGGGACAGAGAGATAAGCATTTTGTCAAAAAAAGAAAAGAAAAGAAAAGAAAGACAAACACCATTCCATTTTGTTTTAAAAAGGCACAATGAATGCGCTAATGAAGCAAAATATTCGTTATTCAAATGAAAAAATATTGGCATTCGATTTTCATTTTTTTAAAAGCCTTATAAATGGTTTCCTCATCCTTTCATACACCGGCCAGCATGTTGACTTAGCACTTCTAGTTAATGTATCTCTGTAAAGCACCATTGTTTTGGGCTAAAACAATTTGACGCCTTATCTTAGGATAACACAGACTGCAGCCAATAGAGGGCGGTAACATCTCATGCCGCGTTTGGACCGGGTTTAATTATCAAAATAATAATGGTAATTATTTTTTTTTAAAAGAGTTAAATGTCCAAAATAGTAAAATTACATAACAAATAAGATAAACAGTTATACACGGAAATGAAAAACAGTTTTGCTTAAATTTGGGTAGAACATGTAGACCTTGAATTGTTGGCAACCCGCTCGATCTATTATCTATCAAAATGCATCTTTTTCCTCTGTCAAGCCTGCAAAATGCAGAAACAGGGTGACTGGATATATTGTGGAAAAACATACCACCACCACCAGCACCGCCTCTAGCCCAGACAATCCATTTCCAAATACCACCACCCAAAACATCCACCTCCGGAAGCAAAAACTTAAACGCACTTAGCAAAAACCCAAGTCGAACGTGACCCGTAACTCTCCATATAATCACGACATGTACGTACAGCCGCGCTCGTTATAGCCACATCCAGGCGTCAACGCTGTTTGACTGATCTTCCAGCCGAGTACTGTGGGACTCACGTTACTCTCTCTCCCACACACACACGCATTCCTAAGGGCCCCTTTACACTGGACGGCGTCAAAAATGCGTTCAAAAATGTGGTCAGGACGCTCAAAGGTCGCCAAAGCAATTAAATCGTGTCTCAGTGTAAAGGCGTCTGCGTCCCTTGTGCGTCCTTTGAACGACCGTATCTTGATTTTACTTGTAAAACTGCGAGCAACCTGCCTGCCTCCACTGTACGTCCCCTGTGCAACCCAAGGCGTCCATTGCGATGTTTGAGAGACCATTGAGCATTCTTGCTGCGTTCTCTGTACCTTCATCGGCGATCAGTGGCGTCTATTCTACGATCATTCTGCATCCTGCTTGACCGATGAGCGTTATTTGGGCGTCCTTCTCTATATTCTAACTCATCGTTTCATCGGTTCTAACCAGGTCATCCAATTAAGAACAATTCCAGCACACAAAACAAATAAATGGGAATAAACGCTTGAAACTATAGTGATGCAAGGTCTGCATGGACTGATAATCAGCCAGATGCTCATTGTTATCCTTAAAAGAAGGATGGACAGGCTCCGAATACGAGAAAGTATGACTGACACAACATAGAATGTTTGAATCCGTTTTCAAATGAAGCATTCTGCAAAAAGTTCTGACAATTAATCTTGTAAAAATGCAAAAATATTCGTTTAATAATAACCTCAAAAAATGGATTGTTTCATTAATTTTAGGGGAAAAACAATGGGAGGCTGATGTGAGACTACTGTTACCCTTAGAATTCCTTTCTGGTGAAAAATACCTCAGCTCGGCCCCGCTTGAGAGTGAAAAAAAAAACAACGTTCTACGTGTCGAACACTGGACGATCTTTGAGTTTTCATTCTGCAACCAAAGCGATGCTTGTGCCTCTTTTCTACGACCGCGGCGCTGCTTGTGCGTTCTCTCTGTGACTACGGCGATGCCTGTGCGTCCTTTCTGCGTCCATTGAGCGACCATCCTACATCGCGTTCTCTCTGCGATTGTTTTGAACATGCTTAAAACTTCACGGCGTCCATGGCGTCCTCGGTGATGCTTGAACGTTCTTTGTGCGACCTTGGCGATCATGTGCGTTCTTTGAGCGTCCGACGGCGTCCTGGCCAGTTTCATGGTCGCATAAAGGACGCAGAAAGGACGCCGTCCAGTGTAAAGGGGGTTTTACTCGCCCATTGACTGTAGAGAGATAGGGTCTATTCCCACAACTTTAGATCGATCTATCACCGCGGGGAGTCTAGCCAGATTACTGTCAGATAATCCCCCTTAAGTGTCCGTCCCCGCCTACTACAAGCTATAAGGGGTAATTAACTTTCGTGTCCGCCCGGCTGACAGCTATTTAGCGTGAACCCCCAGGGAGTTAAGTCGATCTAAATTAGGTCGATCTAATCTATGGAAATGGGGTGATAGACAGTCACGCTCACTACGCACGACACAGGCTGTTACTCATACAACTAAGAACAAGCTGAGAACGATACAAAGACTGCACTCTCTCGCTCTCCGTCTCCTTCTTCCTTAGTCAGGCAAGTGGTTTGATATAAACACCCACGTATATATTTTATTAATCATTAATAGTGTTGTGATAGTGCATTTTCCTTCCTTTACCCGGTGTACTCTCCCTGCGCGGAGAGCACGCAATTATGGTAAGTACTGCGCACACCAGGTGGACAGCCCAACTTCCCCGCCTGATTCCGGCGAGTACAGGTTACAAACTACTATAAAAATCCCATCCACTTCCATTATAACGTTTAATTTTCTTAAATACTTTCCATGCTTCAACAATACTTCTGGTTTAAACACTTCTACTCAAGGCTTAAAAATAATTTTAAAAAATCAGGGTACATTGATGATGTAGCCTTCCATGACATGACGTGACATGACATAACCTATAAGGTGCTGCCGTCAGTCGGCTGAAATAAACACTAAAACGCAGCAGGGGGGAGGCCACGTAAATCTAGCCCCAGGCAGTAAAATTTCAACATGATATAAAAAAATAATTAACACAGCAAATTAAAGGTACATGAACAAATTAATTTCTAAATTTAGAAATGTATTTAGAAAAATTTCAAATGATCCAAAATTGAAAAATAAACTCGTTTTTCTCTTATGTGCAAATGTCTTGCTTCAAAGTTACCAAACAAGGAAGGCCGGAAGTGACGTATAACCTACAACTCATACCACAGCCACTGAGCACACGAACAAAAAATCGTGCCTCGATGTGAAACTAGACAACTTTGGTGTTTTTAGCCTCCAAGTTCTACATAATATCAATTCGTCTAATAAATAAGACGATAAAGGGTTTTATGTTTAATGATGTGTGATTAAATTTATTATCATTAAAGATCCCAATTACAACCAAGAAGTATTTTGGTTGAGCGCTTTTTAGATTTTTAATAAAACATTTAATTTTTACGAGGCTATAAATCATCTCCTGTAGATTAGTGACTTTGCCTCGCTTTCGAGAAATTAAATTTGTTGATCATTTCGTGGCATCGAAAGTTAAATGCGTTACGTCGATCCTTGTTGGGTTTTCTGACATGTAGTGCCTAAAATTAACCTTCTTACATTATTTAATGCAATTAGAAATAACATTCACACTAGCGATCAAGCACTGTGTCTTTATCAAGGGTGAGAGAGTGGTGGAAAATTTCCTAAGGTACACATATAACACTATTAATACAGCAAGCAAATTAGATTAAATCATACAAAGGGTTAACACCGGCTGGCTTTGTCAATTTCACCCACTTTTTTTATTGCAAACAAAACACTTTTGCGCATGCGCAGTCGTTTGAATACTGTGCTTAGCTACCGTGCAGACGTGTATGGTACCAGAGACGAACAAAAACAGAATTGAGACACAATACACAGTGATCTACAATCTCACTCCGTAAGTAGTGAATACTTTAATAGCATATTAATATTTACAGTTGACACCATACGGTGTTTCAAGTATAATATGGGCATATAATAAATAAAGCAATTGTGAAAAGACATCTTGTTGCGTCACAAATATGTAATCGAGTCGACCTACTTAATGCATTGTACAGTACATTGAAAGTGTGTCGCAGAGCGTCGACGGCATCATATGAAACTCAAGGACACTGGGTCATTTTAGATTTCTATTAATGTGTTTACAGTAGTTTGTTAAAAAGTATAGTAGTGGCCTTACGATATAGGCATGTCATAGGGGATTTCATATACGCCCTCAGCAAGTAGAACTGAAACAAGGAAGGTGGTTTAGGGTTAGTGTGCGTATATCGAATGTGTCAATATTCAAGATTGTTGATTAGTGAGTCATCCTCGGGGACAATTGAAGTTTTTTTTACCGATGCATTTGCAGTGACACCTAAATAAATAACAGGTCTTTCCATGGTCTGTTCTCCTGTAACATTCCTCACCCCTATCTCCCCTTCCGTCTCTCTCTCTCTCTCTCTCTCTCTGTATTAAATTTAATAAGAAAATACTCAAAAGGGCTCCGACGAGAGTCAACATCCGACCATTGTATGCGAGATACAGATAAAAGCTATGCCCCCATGTCTTTCCAGGTTGCTGTAGTACGACATGAAGACTGCCTTCGTTAGCTACGTTTTGGCCATAGCCATTATGGCTGCCTGTGTGGAGTTTATTGGTAAGTTCCAAGCCATCACCTGCGTCTGCCGGCGCCGTCGCCGGTCGTGCACTCTGAGAGATAACACGTTTGATGAGAGCAAATGAAATGATAAAATGTTGGCCATATGCTAAATTTACGTTGTTCACGTTGTGTGCTGGTCGACAGAAATCGTTATACATTGATACAAACCAAGTCAGGGAGGGGGTTGACTATATTAGGAACACATTCTTTCACAACATGAGTTTAAAGAAAAAATATTTCAATTGAGTGGATTCGGCAACAGACATACAAAACAGCGACAAAGGGCAGCGAGCACATATTTACCTTAATAATTTTCTACTTTTATTAAATTTCTTTCATTCATTTATCCAATATATGTTGACATGTTTTAGGCTACGTGTTCCAGATACCTTTTCGTATTCATTTTCCTCTTTACAGAGTGCGATCGTCTGCCCACAAATGGGATCCGTGTATACATCAGCAGCTTGTCAGGCAACCTGGAGGTAAAGAAACAACAACAGTGGATACAGATGGTTCTCAGCGGGAAGAACATCGACGCACAGTACATCGATATCTCCTCAAACGCCGCCGCTAAGGAATTCATGAGGGAAAAAGCAGGACCGTTTACTGTTCCTCCACAGCTTTTTAACGGCGAGGAATACCTTGGTGATTACCAAGCTTTTGAGGAAGCAGTTGAAGACAGACGTCTTATGGAATTCCTAAAGTTGAACTGATTTATCTCGTGGTTAAAAATAAAGTTTGAGACACTGTCAAGACGTCAAGGCACGCGAATTCACATGTGTAATATACTTCAACTACCATTTTGACAAAAACCTAACAAGATATAAAAAAAAAAAAAACAGAAATGTCTGAAGCTGGACGAGCTGAGATGATTGTACTGCATGGGTACATACCGGTACATAATGAATAGTAAAATGAATAATAGAATAAATAGAGCCTTAGTACAAATTATAACTTGCCATGATATGTGTTAACTGTGCTGATAATTGTTTAAGGAAAATGATATTCAATATGTTGCACTCTTTCAGGAGAAGCATTTATTATTTTGCAACCTAGGCTTAAATTCTTCATGCACCTTGCATTTGAATACAAATTTCTGTTGTGAGTTCTGCTTTATTACATTCAAGATTCCCGCGTCAAGTCACATGGTACCAGGTGTCATGCGACACCTGGCGTGACGCGTAAACAATACATAGACTAAAACACTACATTCCTCCCCATCTTATTTTCAAAACATGCTTATATACAAACCACTGATGAATAAGATAAGTGTGAAGTAATTACAATTGTTGAAATAATTTTAACATACATACGGATTACACTTTATTAACAGCATCTTAGTCAACCCTTGCTTTAAATGACAATGTTATGTATTATATGCCTTACATCAGCACAGTTAGTGATAATGAGATCTATTTTTGTGCATAGTAAATAATAATTGTGCATATACATTGCATATTAACGGCACAAATAAATACATTATTTCCTTATAGCTAAGGTAACATGTTGTGTTAAACAGTGCATACTTTCAATTCCCATATTTTTTTTAATATACATGTGCATGCATTACTGCATAAACGGCACATATGAACTTTACTTATCATGCTAAATCTGTATTATCAACATGACACATGCACTTTACTCACAAGACTGTACTGTGCATCCAAACAGTTTCAAAATACATACAACTTCTACGAATGCCATGATAAAGAAAATGTATAATTGTGTCACTTATGTGAATACAATATTAAATGCGAATACAAGCTCAGTTTAATGTAGCCAATATATATGCATGTAAAACATAGTCAATGCTTGGTTCAAAGTCAATAAAGTTCACAGAAAATGTCCCATTATCTCAGTAAATTGTCCTTGGTATAACATATTGTAGTAGATATCGCTGTCACATATGATAATAACAACCTCGTTAGTTCTGAGTCTTCCTCTCAACTATAACGTATTGGAGGTATAACTGTTCTGCCACTTCTCGTAACAACAGCATCTTTGACAGTTCCATCACTTTGTGGTTGGTCATCACCCATGTTATCAGGAGTCACACATTTAGCTTTGGAGGGTTTTAGGGGCCCCCTTCCCTTACAGGGCTTTAAGTGATCATGCTGCACCACCACAACTTTCCTTTTTGTTTTTATTTTATACAAAATTGGAGAAAGCACCTCAATAATTTTGAAAGGGCCGAGCCATACAGGCTGTAATTTCTTTGAACGACCGGGTTTCGACGTGTTATTATACCTATACACTAGGTCGCCCTTACAATATTGTGTCTGCCTCGTGTTTTTAAATTCTCGCCGAGACATTTTCTGGCCAACTCGTGAACGCTCTCTAGCTTTTCTTTTAATTGCATGACATAGCTATTTGGTTCAACATCTCCTTGAATAGATTTTAAACCAAACGTAAAATCAATGGGCTGTCTAGTTTCCCTTCCAAACATCAACATGTTTGGGGTCAGACCTATTTGTCTGTTAGGGACCGCCCTGATCACGCTTGTAATTAAAGATAAATGTTCATCCCAATTACTGTCATGTCCTTCTAAATAACACCGTATGCACTGCATGAAAGTCCTATTCTGACGTTCGACGGCGCCATTCGAACACGGCCTGTACGGACTAGTTTGGGTTTTGTTAATAGACAGTAAACTGCAAACATTACTAAACAATTCACTTGTAAAATTGGCACCCATGTCGGAATGTATGATGGTTGGACAACCAAACCTAGCAATGAAATTGTTCACCAATGTTTTGCTAACTGTATCTGCAGTTTGATCCGGTAATGGATACGCTTCCACCCATTTAGTGAACTAACACACGACAACTAAAATGTACTTATTCCCTGATTTACTGGGAGTAAGTGGTCCTAAAATATCTATGTGAATTCTCTCTAAAGGTGCACCGGCATGGAAATTTTGCAATTCAGCTCTGAATTTCCTGCTTGCTTTTTTTATTTTTTTCACAAGCCACACATGAATTGACATACAGTTTGCAGTCGGTAGTCATTCCATACCAAAATACACTTTGTCTCAACAAAGAGTCCGAGCAATCCCTTGATGACCTGAAATAACAGGGTCATGACACAATGATAAGGCTTTTTGTTGAAATTCTTTGGGTAATACCAAAAGAGGGTTAAAAGAGCCCTTATCAAATCTGCTGTAATATAAAACACCATCCTTCATGGACAGCAAATTGAAGTTTGTCCATAAAAATTTCACAGCTGTCGAGCATAGTTGCAACTCCTCTTGAGAAGGACTTACATTTTCCTCAATCCAACCTATCACCTTTAATAAGAGAGGATCTTTTAATTGCGCTTCTCTGAGTTGACTTGCTGTATACTTTGCAAACAATTCAACATTCCCAGTATTTTCCTTGGATGGGTCTACAGCAGGTGTAACAGTTTTCACGCTTCTTAGAGACAGGGACCCTATCTAATCGACATCTTTGTTAAATCTGTCCCACTCTTCATGAAGCCTGGTACAGTGATGACAGCCTCCACAAGGTAACTTTGTCACATCACAACCAGCTTCATAGTAATTACAGTCCTTGTGCTGAAGAGGGAT